GTCCATCATCGACACCCACGCCGACATCCCGCCTCGCCCCGCCCACCACGCCTAGCGCGCACCTCCTCGGTCCCAGATGCTCCGCAGCGGTACGCCCCCTCCCACACCGCCGCCCCCTCGCTCCTGGGCCATCCCCCTGCTGACCCGGTCGGCACGCGCACCCTCGCACAGCCCCCTCGCGCACCGATCTCCCCCTGGGGTCCGGGGGAGATAGCCCCTCCCGGGTCAGCGGCACGCCCCCGAACGCCGGCCCGGCACTGCCACGGGCGGCGCCCTCCCTTCGCCGGCGCTCCTCATCGGACTACTCACTCCCGACATACCAGACGGCACACGGCATCCGCATGGTGAAGCTGCACGACAAGCTCCGCCGGCATGACCCGATTTTCCACGGCCGCACCGACCGGTCCAAGATCATCGACGACTCCACCAACAACACCTTCTCCCTGGTGGATGTCATCATGAACACCGACCTGCGCAGTGCCCTGTGCGCCTTCGCCGGGCAGGAGTTCGCCGAGGAGAACATCATCTTCGTGGAGACGGTCCTCAACTTCAAGCAAAATCGCAATAGCGCCTCCATCTCCGGCATCGTGCACGATTACATCCTGCCCGACTCGCCGATGTCCCTCAATCTGCCGCACAAGACCCGCATCCAAACCCTGGCCGCCAGCCAGAAGTACCTCATCCAGGCCGGGGCCCGCGGGTCGCGCCTCTCGGCCGCCAGCCACCCCTCCGAGTCGGCCGGGTCATCGCACTCGTCGCTGGCCCTGCCGGCCACCGGGTCCGACTCCGGGCCCGGGTCGGGCTCCGCCTGCTCCGCAAGTGGCTGCCCGGGGGCCGGGGCCGGGGCCGGGGCCGCCGAGGACGCCCCGACGAGTGGCCCGGTCGAGCGCCTGGCCTCGCCGGCCGGGCGCCTGTCCAAGCTCTCGCCCGGGCGTCTCTTCCGTGGCGGGTCCAGCGCCGAGCCACCGGCCGCGGACCCGGGCCCCACCGCCGCCCCCGGGTCGCCCCTGGGCCCGGCCACATCCATGAGCTCCCTGGCGTCGGTGTCCTCGGCCGGGTCGGCCAGCACCGGCCGGCCGGCCACCCCGACCAGCGCGCGTGCCTCCAGCATCAAGAACTTCTTCCTGGGCGGCAACCGGCCCCGGTCGACGTCGGTGTCCTCGTCGCGGTCCACCGAGTGCGAAGACCTGGCGGCCCTCAGCCACGCGGACATGGCCCTGTCGGCGGCCGAGAGCGCCGGGGCCTTTGTGCCGGATGGCTGGACCGGCTCCGGCACCCAGTGGTTCGACGCCGCCAATGGGCCGTCGCCCGTGCCCGGGGCCGCTCCGCACCGGCTGTCCCCCCTGCCGGTGGGGTACTCCGCGTCGGTGGCCGACCTCGGCGGCGGCGGCGGCGGCGGCGGCGGCAGCAGCAGCAGCAGCGCCTCCCCCCACCACCCGCAGCAGGGCCACTACCACCACCACCACCACCACCAGCATGGCCAGCCGATCGAGCAGTCGCACTCCTGCCCCGGGTTGCTGACGCTGCCGGCACGCCCGAGCCCCGGGCTGGCGCCCATGAACGCCTGCCCGGCGGCCGGGCCCGGCAGCTGCCACTCTCGCACCGGGGCCTGGTTCGGCGGCTCGGCCGGGGAGTACTTCACGCCAGAGGGCGGCTGGTCGCCCGGGGCGCCGGCCTCGCCCACCTCCCTGCCGGGCGACTGCTACCCGGTGTCCAGCTGCTCCGGGCACCTGTACGACACGGCGTCCCTCTCGTCGACCAGTCGATCGCCCGGCGGCAGCCCGACCCCCCCGCCGGGCGGCGCGCTGGATAGGGCCGCCGCCGTCGCCGCCGCCGCCGCCGCCGCCGCGGCCGACGGCATCACCGACCGGTGGACGCAGTCCCTGACCAGCCTGATCGGCGGGCAGGACCTGCTGCTGGACGGCCCGGGGCCCGGGTCGGCCTCGGCCGGCAGCCTGACCACCAGCACGGACCTGCAGCTGGCCGGCGCCGGGCACCACCCGCGGGAAGACTCGTCCGACCGTGAGGAGGAGCTGCGCGTCTTCGACGCCGCCCTCGATGAGGTCCTCCGCCTGATCGAGGTGTCCATCTACCCGCGCTTCTTGAAGATGTACCTCGACTCGCCGTACCACATTTCGCCGTACGTCCACCACCGTGCGCGCGCCCGGGGCCGGGGGAGCCACGACACACCGCCCGACCCGTGTCCCTTTTCGATGTTGCCTCTAACCTGTGTGCGAAAAAAAAAATGCCCCCCTCCACACCGGCCGGCCTTTTTTGACCGATGCGCGCGCACACGCGCTCCCGGCTCGCCTGTCGCCGCCCACTTCGGCATCGGTGCCCCTCCGCCCCCTCCGCCCCCCCCCCCCTGCCAACACCTGCACAGCACCCTGCCGGAGGGCGTGCGCCGGGTGGTCGTCGTCGGGGGCGGCATGGTGGGCGCCTATGCGGCCATGGTGCTGGACCAGATGCCGCGCTTCCACGTGACGCTGATCGACAACAAGAACTACTTCGAGTTCACGCCCGGCATCGCGCAGGCCTGGGGCGACCCGGCCACGGCCGAGCGCTTCCGCTTCCCCCACTCGCGGTACATCCACCGGGGCCGGGTGGTGCAGGGGTACTGCTGCGAGGTGCAGCGCGGCGCGGTGCGCGTCAACAATGCCGACGTGCCGTATGACTACCTGATCCTCGGGTGCGGGTCCCTGCACAACACCCCGATCAAGAGCGACAACAGCACCATCGCCTTCCGGCTGAAGAAGCTGGCCAGCGAGGGCCGGGACATCACCGAGGCCGGGTCGCTGGTGATCATCGGCGGCGGGGCGGTCGGCGTGCAGCTGGCCTGCGACTTTGCCGAGCGCTTCCCGGACAAGCGCATCACGCTGGTCTCCTCGAGCCACTGCCTGCTGAAGCGCCTGCCGCGCAAGGCGCACCAGATCGCCTCGCGCAACCTCGAGCGCCTCGGGGTCAGCGTGCTGCTGGGCCAGCGCGTGGTCGGGGTCGATGTCGATGGGACGGTTCTCCAGACGGCCGACGGCCTGCTGCTGCCCTGCGACAAGTACATCGTGGCCGTGGGCATGGTGCCGCAGACGCAGTTCCTCCGCCGGTCCATGCCGGAGATCCTGGACGATGCGGGCTTCATCCGGGTGCAGGCCACCCTGCAGGTGGAGGGCCACCAGCAGATCTTCAGCGGCGGCGACGCGTGCAACCTCACCTGCGAGAAGCTGGCCCTGACGGCCGCCTCGCATGGGGTCACCATCGCGCGGAATATCTGCCGCCTGGAGAAGCACAAGCCGCCGGTGCGGCTGGGCGAGCGCGGCGCCGCCGCCTCCCCGGACCGGCCCATCTCCCAAATCGTGTCCCTGGGCCAGAACAATGCGGTGATCGCCCTGCGCGGGGCCTCGGCCGCCGAGGGCCGCAAGTACCTGCGCGCCAAGCGCGACCGCGAGTCCTCCATCCTGTCCATGCTGGTCGACCAGTCCCTGGCCAAGTCCAGCCTGGGCCGGGTGCCGCGGGTGCTCTCGCGCGATGACTGATCGTCCCCCCCCCCCACCCCCTCGGAGACCCGGTCCTTTCCGTGTGCAGCCCGCCGCCCTTCCGCGCGCGCGCGCCCCCCCCCTCCTGCCCTTGCTCGCGCGCGCGCGCACCCCCCGTCCTTTGGCTGCTGCCCCTTCGGCCCCTGTCCCCTGGCCTCGCCTCCCCCCGCCTGCCCTCCGGTGTGGCTATGGTGCTACCGCCACCGCCACGCGCCCGGTAGGCTGCGCTGCGCGCCTGACTTGCTGGCGGCCGCCCGTGCCCGATGTAGTCCCCCCCCCTGGGTGTGTCGGGCCGCCGCTCGTCAGGCGGCCGTGTCCAAGCGCGCGCAGCCCCCCTCCCTGTCCTTGAGTAAAAGAAAAAAGCCCCCTCCGAGCAATCTCCCATCCTGCTGTGCCGCCCGGCCCCCTCGCCGCCGCCGCCGCCGCTGGCCCGTTTCGCCGGCGGCGGAGGCCGAGAAGGAGGCAGCCACAGCAGGAGGGAGAGCCACACATGCCCGCTGCTGAGTGGGCTCCTGCATCGGCCACCGATGCGACGCCTCCCCCAGAAGAAGGGGAGGCAAATACACGTTCGCCCTTCCCCCTTGAAAGCTTGCGAGAAGAAGGGGCGCCCAGGGGGGAGGGGGGGGGGGAAGTAATCTTGGTCCCTTTCCCCCCTGCCGCCGCCCCCCGCGCCCATTCGCCCGCGCCCTCTCTCCCTGTAGGGCAATATCTCGTCACTCGAGATCCCGGCCTTCTGGCCCCTTTCTCCCCGTGGGGGAGGGGGCAGGGGGAGGCGGCCCGGCAGAGGGGACGGGCAACGGACAATGCCCAGCTCCTTGCCGGGTCGGCGGCGAGGGGCCGCCTTTCCAGGGAGGGCGCCGGCGATACCGGCGAAAAGGCGTGGGTTGTGCGCGGATCGGGCTCTTCGCCGGAATCCCGCCTCGCGGTGGGGGGGGG